ATAGCGTTAAAGTGATATTATAGTCAACCAAATCTAAGAAATACCTTTTGACGTTTCACATTAATCATTCCGCAATAACTTTACGCAAGCGTACTCATATGATTTACAATAACCTTTTACCTAAATCCGAAGAATTATGAAGTTATCTATATTTAGTTATAACGTGTTCAGTTTTTTATTGCTAATTTAAATTCGAATCTTTCAAACAAAGTAAAATATTAAAAAAATTACCAGTATGAACTTTTTTACTTGACGTCGTTTAAATGATATGTCGCTATGTGCCTTACCGTAGTGTTTGGATGATTAAAATTCATTGATATGCGAATAATCAGCAAAAATATTCAAATAATCGTTAAAAATATTCAAATAATCGAATCATTAATTTTTAATGTATTATTTGTTTAATTCAATTTTTATTTTTAAAATTCTTTAAATTACATGAATCATGAATAAAACAAGTTTTTTTTTACTTTGTCAACGTAAAGGGCAATGGCACACTCCCAAATAAATTTTAGTTGACTTTTTTTTCTTGCGTTTGCAAACAGTAATAAACAACAAATGCAAAATATGTAAAAATATAGTTTAAGATCCTGAACATTTTTTTCTTCAGTCATAATACTGCAGGATGTCGGGAATTAGATATACTCCAGTTTAAACAAAATACAAAATAAAAGTTTTAATGTAGGCTAGGCTGTATGGTATAAAACGCCTTAACTGGCAAATCGTTACAACACCAACTATAGTCAATATAATTTTCATATACCTATGTTTATATAAGATAGTTACTAGCATAGAGGGAATCCTTAAAGAACGCATTAGTATATATAGAAGAGTTTTCTGAATAAAATACACGTCAAACTCAGCTGTATGTTCATAAGACCTTTGTCCGTCTTAACTGATGAATCGTAACGACTACAACAACTAGTCAATTAAGTTTTGAATTGTGTACGATTATTTTTTCTATAGCCCATAAGTTTGATTTGATAATACACAGTAAATTATTTTATTGATATCTGTAATAGTGACTAAAGTAGACGCTTAATAATTCCATCACCTTTTATTTCGCCATTGTCCCTTGTGTAGGCAAAAAAACTCATATATACCTACAAGGCCGCGCTGAAAAAACCACTACGTAATTTCAATCTCCCAGTCTCCCACCATTCCGGGAGTTTACTGTGCGTAATTTTGTGCTTTTGTGTTTGTCTTCTTATTTTGTGACTCGGTTTTAACTTTTTGGACTGTTTCTTCTATATTCGTTGAAGCATGTTAAAAACGTTGATTGGGCAAAAGTGGTAGAAAAACAAAAAAAAATTACTTTGAGAGACATTAAGTTTGACTGCATTATTGAAAATCAAATAATAATTAATCTAAACAACGGCAGTTCAAGTACTTGTACTGAAAGTGATTGAATAAATTTATTTTTAATCTAGTTTGTACATAAGTAAATAACAAATACGAAGAAACTGAAAAATCTTGTGTTTTAAATTAACCGTTTTTAATTTATTCTGGTATTATTCAAATCAAACTATAAATGATTACTAACTCTAAATAATCGATATCGAATTTTTGAAGAATCGAATATTGTACGCCCCCATTTTTTGGTTGGCATGCTTGGTGCAATAAATCTGACAGCTGCAAAATGTATTTCTTAGATTTGGTGGAGTATAATTATTGTATTTTGTAATTAAATCTAGCAGCCGTAAATTAACTTACCACAACTAGATTTTTTTAAGCTTTGGTACCTGTATTAAAAAAAATAAACACTATAAAGCCACCCTGCATTTTATAATAGCCAGAACACGAATGATTTGGCCGGAAAAGAAACAAACTCTCACGGCCATACCATACCATCGTAAAATAGCATGCTAGTAAAAATCTTTCGTATGGTGCGTGTGCGTGACGAAACTGAAGTCCGGTTTTACTCCTTACTAGACATTTTATCTTAGTCTTCAATGATGACAACATACCTGATATTTATTTTTAATGGACGATAGAATGTAGACGTTTATACCTCACAGCCTGTGAGCCTGAGAGATATGTGAAATATGTTGTCATCTCTGAGGATCGGCTCACAGCATCTATTTACCTTCTATAAACAATATACTTCATTTTAACCCTTACTTCTATAATAATAGTTCTAAAAAAGTTATCAATACTATTAGTATATATTTTAACCATTCCAATAAATTTTAAAAGCGCCACTCTTGATTAACTAATAATGCCAAGTCATTTTTTTCAGTATTGAAAGATGACAAGAATTTGAAAATGATTTAAATAATAATGCTTTAGAACCGTGACAGCTCAGAGAAGAAGTGCTTGCCTCAATATTTCTTTATACAAGCAGAGATTTATCCCCAACGGAGCTAATGAGATTGGTAATTTTAATTTTGAGTGCTGATTAACCACGAATTGAAGGGTTATGGAATCTGCACGTCTTAGTAATATGGAGACATGGAAGTCCGCATGAAAAGTCATTCATGGCTAGCGTGACAAATTCTTTCCAACCTTATCTTGGAATGAGGATAATAAAGTGTCCAGCAATAGGGCAATTGTGCTACATTACGATAGCAGTATGACTAAATAATATATTTTCCAATAAATAAGAGATTTGTCGGATAAATTTAACCTATATCAATAAAGTTAAGAATATGAACTAAATAATTAGACACTATAAAATACTTTTACATTTATCCTGCGAAAATTTGTTTTCCATTTTCCCGTTAAACTGAGTTTAGGTAGAAGGATTGTAAATCACCAGATTCACTTTGGTGTCACCGATGTGCTTAATCGTGTGAAAAATTAAATGATGGGTGGTATCAGGGTAATATTTCATTTTATTTTTTTAAATATTTCTGCATTAAAAAGTATATATAAAAACATATCGTGTGTTTTAATATTTATACTTTTTTTTGCTTTAGTTTAGAATCATACCTTGTTTTCTACGTAGATATATATACGTCTTGCTGTATCTTCCGAAAGAACTTTCCCATATTTATTTGTCTATGCTCTTTTTAAAGAAGACTAACTATACGTGGTAGACCTAATATTGCAGCTGTATTATGGTTGTAGCACGAATGGGTCGGCTCGACCAGGGAAGGATCACGCGCTTACAGAATACTAGCGTAAAATAATAACTTAAAGCTGGTGTTTCTTATGGTGAGTGTAGAGAACCAGAGACCCCTCTTATTGGAAACTAGCTGTTACCCCCAACTTCATCCGCGTGAAATTTTTGACGATAACATTTCATGGGTTTTCGTTTTTGTTTCGTGGAACTCTAACTCTTTTTCCAAAACAAGAGTCCCTATGTTACTCCTTATAACATCAATTATATGCCAGTGAAATTCTCGTAAAAATCGGTCCCATCTTTTCTGAGATAATAAAAAAATAAACAGACAGACAAACAAAAATTTTAGTAATTGTGTTTTTGTTATACGTGGTGTATAAACTTTTATATGCATTTAGTAAATAGCTGTTATCTTGACACTAAAAACAGACATTTTAGTTTTATTTATTTGTACAGACGAGGCATTTTAGCTTAGTACTCCGGGGTGACAACGCGTCTGTATTTTGCACTGACCTCCATATATACAAGTGTACATATAGAGATCAGTTGTATTTTGATTCTTACATTAGGGTGAACGTAGATATCTATAGGCAAATGCATCCACTTACCATCAGGTTGGCTATGTGTTGTCACTCTTATTAAATCGCTAGTATATTTTAGCATTGATGATATTTTTAATAAGCCAAATAAAGAAAAAAATTAAATCAGACAATAAACCAGCATTCTCGCGACATCTTATATTTACTGTTTCGTCTATTCACCCCTAAAAGAAGGGGGAAAAAAAAAAGTTATTCAAAACATTTTTTTCGTCTGTATATTTTTAGCAGGTAGATTTAGGAATATTATTAGTAGGGAATTTTCAATGAAATTATTATTATGCACACAACAGCTTGACCTGCTGTATGTTAGAGAACCGGACTTTTGAAGGCTCTTCCACGGGGACACCGCTTTTTCAAAAAAAGAAAGTCTTTGGCACAACAAACCCCAAACAAGGGGGTGGGTCCCTATCAAAAAAAAAAGGTTATCGCATTTAAAGTATTAAATTATGAGTCCAAAGCAAACACGCCGTCTGTATAAGAAGAATTTAAATTTAATCGAAATAAGTTAAAGTACTTATTAGTTTCAGACTAGTTTACCCATATTATATGAAATCGTTGTAGAATATTCTAACTGACTCCTTTTTTATTCCTCCTCATCATCATCATCATCATCATCATCATAACACTTTATTAAAGTCCACTGTTGAACGTTTGTTTGTCATAGTTGCCCCGATAGGCAGGCTGGTTGTCACTGCAGTTAATTTGTTGTTATTTATTTATTAGAAAGACGCTGTGGACCATTACTTGGTATGTTTTCCTCTATTGCCTCCTATAACACCCACTAGGGGTGGTGAACATTCCTCCATCGCCACCACACGGTTAATGATATTATTAGTTATCAATGTCAATAAAATAAAATAAAATGTGAATATTATTTTAGGTTAGCTGCGAAGTTCTAGTAGGTTAAATGTGTATAACTTTTATAATAAAAAAATCTTTAAACTTTGACTATTTCTTCTTTTAAAGACGACTGAAGATTTTGCTTCGTGTTTAGTTTTATCCATAACTGGTTTGATCCTGGGCCACTTGCATTCACAGACTCCTTAAATGCCTTATTATGTAGTCACTCCTTTTACTGGGGGCCGTTCTGCACTGCACTCACGAAGAAAACAGTGACTCTAGAATCTTCCTAATTTCTCATCGATTTTCGGTCCAAATATTTAGTTTATTTATAATGACATAAAATAATAAAGGGTTGTTTTCAATATTTGGTATGCAATTACAATTGTTCTCAAATTTTAATCTTTTGTGATGATTAATTAGCTTTGAAGTTATTTTTAAAAGAAACGCAAAGGCACAACAAAAGTTATTTAATAAAACCAAATTAAGATACATCGTTAGTGCCTTGCACTCAGTAATATCAATATTGTTATTACAATCTTCAACTTCCAGGACATGGTTTTGAAGGCCAATGAACCTGCGGAATTGAAGACATTAATATCCGTATCGCGTCGTAGTGAATTCATATAATTCTTCGAGAAAATAAATTAATATACCTACTACACCTCTTAATATTTTACTAAACATTAATTAACCCTAAGTGTTAGTATTTATCTTCTTTTAATATGTTAAAATTAAATGTACTTATGACTTTTAAATAAATTTTCATAAACTTACCACTATCTCCATATTCAGGCATTGTGATACTATGCATTTCAGTATCTCTCAAAAATATATAATCTCCTTTAAATCCCGTGGCATCCAGTCGATCGTTAGATTTGAAAGTAATTCTAAGAAAACTTTTATCCGACGTTATATAAAATTCTTTTAACTGTCCACAATATCTTGGACTTTGCGAATCTAATATCTGATTATAAAATTGCACGTAGTCACTTGCAGAAACAACTTCACATCTACGAAAAAAAATAATACAATATTTTTACATCAAATTACATTCACATGTCAAATCCGTACAAAAATGACATTTTATAAGTTGTTCGTTGGTAGTGGTGGAGGGGGGGGGAATAACTGCAATTGGATCAACAGTATTCCTTACTCTTGATCTAATTGCAGTACAAGCCTATTAACGCTGATGTTCCACAAGGCTGCGTGCTATCACCAACGCTGTTTCTTCTGCATATTATCAATGATATCTTGCAAATTGATAACATTAATTGCACTGCGAACGACAGCACTGGTGATGGCTTATACACTGGCCGTCTCAATATTTCTCAGGAAATTAACGTCACCAAGTACCGGGAAAAACTTGTGTCTGAAATCGAGACTTTGCTGAACAAAGTTGGGAGCGACTATATCTAGTCCAGTTCAATCCCCAGAAGACAAAATTTTGCGCGTTTACCGCTAAAAGGAACATCTTTATCGTATCTCCTCAGTTGCGAAACGAGACATTCTGAATTTTCATTTTTAATCGAGGATAAATGTAGATTTCTATGGTTCACAGCTTTCACTTACTATCAAGTGGACTGTGTGCTCATTTGTCACCCCTATTGTATTTAGAAACCATAAGGGTTCCTTGTTGGTGTTTAGTTTAACCACAGAACGAACAGAACAGAAGAATTTCCTTTTGTCAAATAAAATAAAATACTTACGGTATTACTCCCTCCACATCAAAATGTGTGAAATGTAGTCGCACCTTCTCATCTTGATTGCCGTAGAAAAAGTAATTACATTCTGTATCACGTGGATAAACACCTGGATAGTTAGGTGACATCACAACACCTCTTTCACTCTCGCTACTGTTGTATACAAAAGCACAAGGAAATTCCTTCAGTTGTTTTCCTGAGGTGACTGCATAGTCTTTATGAAGAAAAAAACCTTTTAATGGTGAAAAGTTATACATCTATATTAAATTTAAAAACAAATGTGGTGACAGCGCAAGGAATCCATTACCCTTTGATTATATACCTGTCTAGATAGAGTGTTGCGCTACTATAGCAACAAAACAACGGGTCCGATTTCGAGCGCTTGTGTGCTTGTTACGCACACAAATATACGTAACTACTATTGTTTAAAGCCGCCGCTACACGATCGGCCATGATCGACACTCGTTGATCGTCTGTAATCGGCAAGGTAATCGCCACCATCATCGTGCAAGCATCCACACGATCGTCGGTGATCATTTATTAAGCGGCAAGCATTCAAGATGGACGTGGAGGTTATAGCTGCAGCTACCATTAATTTTATTATTTAATGTTATTGAACGAAAATTTGGGAAAATGGAAGAAAAGAAGATGGTGGTGTTCGAGCATTCATCGTAATAGAACAAAGTAAATATACATATACAACTTAATAGGTGATCCTACTGCCCAGTTCTCACTATAAATATCTATTTCAGACATTCAAGGGGTAATCAACTCTCTGAGCTATTGGCGGAACCTTCAGGGGAATTTGAAAACGTTCTATGAACTTTAATGTCTCTTCATTTGACTACCCAGTAGTCATTGTTTTGCACTTGCACTCACTTTTATTTAAAAACTTAAAAACGACGCGACGTACGCACTGCTCGCTATCTTCCGGTGAATGAATGATCGGCGATCGTGTGGGCACGTGCACGCAATTACAAGCGATTCCCTTTGATGTGTGCCCGAAAAACCGACAAGGCATCGATCGCCACGATCACGACGACGATCAACGACGATTGAGGACGATGATGGGTAACTACAGGCGATTAGCCCCTCTACACGATCGTGCTCGCCCTGTAATCGCCCATCATGGCAGATCGTGAAGAGGAGCCATAACAAGCACGCTGAATCACTCGGGGGCGAGCTGAGTGATACCAGCTCTTGAATATTTCCCATTAGTTTAAGTACTCATTTGACATTTAAATTTTTTTATATATACTTATTTTGATTTGCCTAGTTATAAAATAATAACGTTTCACATGACAATTGTACTTTTAATTCATTTTATTTAATTTGATATAAATTATTTATATATTGACTTACTCACTTATAAAAACAATGATTTGATATACTATGTTAAATAATTTGAAACAACTATTTGTCATCATTAATGTACCATGATTATTGATATTTATATAGTTAGTTTTGGTATTTATGTAGTTTTAGTTATTGTTTTACAAATATATAAATGAAAATGATAAATATACATACATATCAATAAAATAAAATAAATAAATAAAATACATTAATAAATAAAATCCAACCAGATGGGAGACCTCGCCAGGAGAGACCAAAAAACGGAGGCCTTTGTTTTATCAGATAATAGTTAAACAAAATAGGTTTAATAAATTAATTATAATGTAGATTAGTTTTATTTGTTTTGTTTAAAAATATAAAATTATGTGAAAAAACTAACATAAATACTATTTAGTGCATGACATCATGGGTTTCATTTATTTTGTGTAGGTAAGTTATCATTTACTAATCAAATAACTAAAGTAATTTTTAAAATAATAATGTTCTCTTGATCGATAGATGATGTAATAACATTTGTATTTCGTCTCCCATAATTTCGTCAAAACTCCCTAGTAATAAACTGACAACATCGGCTGATCAGACTAACCCACATAGTAACGAATTATAAAATAGTGTTTTCATAAAACAATAGTGGTTAAATAATAAAACTTATTGATGAAAAGTGATCTTGGTGTTATTATACGGTTTTCGCACATAATTGCGACACAATTTAACAACACAAACCGGCATAATTAATTATTTTTGTGAGCACGTTATCCCTAAGTGTTTCAAAAATGACACTGACGTAGCAGAGAAGCGAGTCAATTTTAGTAGACTTTATTTGGACCGTTCTGTGCGAACAATGTGGCATCTAGACAGGTATAATCAAAGCCATCATCCCAATTATTTATATTTTAGTCGTAAAAGGCGACTACAAGAAATTCCAGAAAGTTCTCAGCGCATGCGATAGATGTCGGCATAAACATTCGCTTACGTCGGACGTAAAATACTTATACTAATGACGTGGAGAAGCGCAAAAGGCGAGATATCTAGTGCTTTTTTTTTTGCGGATGGAAAATCGCCTAATGACGCCTTTCACTCTGGGTGGAGCGTAAGGGGTGTCAGACTTTTACTGACTAAAAACCATCCGTATTCCTTCAGTGCCCTTACGTTCCGGAGCCGCGGTATCTCTTTCGAACAGCCCGCAGCCCCGGCAGGCGTCGGCCCTTGCGGGCCCCTTCAAAGATGTCTAGTGCTTGGAGTGCCAATTCGCCTGCCAAGGCTGGTGATTGTGATGGATTCACCTTCAACGCAAAAAAATTCCATAATTCCAGTGGAGTGGACTTTAACAAGGTGATAAAGAAGAATGTTATATATTTTTACAATCTTAGGCCAGGTCTTAAAAATGGGTGATTTTCCATCATGTAATTTATTTTGATTTTGAAAACTTGTAATATTTAGATTTAAGACAAAGTAAAAGAAATTTTAAAAATATCTTAATTTTTACCTTCAAGAAAAGCATAAGATATTTTAAATCCCCTGCTAGTCCTCGAGGAGTAAATTCCTCGGAACACCATGGACAGTTTAGGTCCATTTGACATTATTGGTTTTGGTAAATCATTTCCACATAACGATACCATTTTTTCTAATCGTCCGTCTACATACAAAAATATATCTATTGAATCCGTGTTTTCACAGCTGTAATAGAAAAATATGGTTTAAAATTATTATAAGTAAATTATAACAAAAATAATATACGTACTTGTATTATTATGTAATATTTATGTTATCTAATGTATGTGTAAATAATAAACTTAAGTTGAGCTGGCTAAACTTAAGTTTGACCGAAACTTATCGCCTAAAAATGTTGAAGCAAATGTGAAAATTTTAATTCGGTATTTGTACTTAGTTATTGATATAACACAATAGAACATTTTTTGTAACTATGAAGTTAAATTCGCAAAATAAAATCTCACATCCACTCTTACTTATTATGCTACGCGCACCGCCATGTAACTTGCCACCTAGAACTCTCTCTATTGAACAGATCCTAAATTACAGGGATATTTTTCTAACTCTGAAAGCAAGCTGAGTTTGTCTCTGTAACGTTGCTTCAGTTCAGGGCATTGGAAAGTTTATGAATCGATTTTTTTAAGCATTAAGTTGATATTCTCAGTCCCAGCCTCATTTAAAATTTATGACAGCGCAAACATAGGCGTTCGAATTTCTTGTCTTCTTCAGAATTAACATTAGAATCGTTTTTTTCGTCAAATAAATAATAAGAACTTTATATCTAATGCTGGACGTAGACGTTTTAAGAATGCGAAATTGACGTATATTTTGAAGGATTACTTATCTCTTTGAACAAGCGAGTAATAAAATATAATAATTGTGTAATAAGAGAAGAGTGTGGTTTGCAAGATGATGTTGTGACCAGGATTAAGAAAGGAATGCTTCGGTGGTTTGGTCATGTGGAAAGAATGAATGAGGAAAGAGTGACAAAGAAAATTTATGTTGCAGAAGTGAATGGCAGAGTCGGAAAGGGACGTCCTAGGCGAAAATTTATCGACCAAATTGGCGATTTATTGAAAACGGGCCAAATTAGGAGTACCCTTAACCGACGAGCATGTGTGCGGAGATGTATGGATGTGAAGGAGGCGAGAGAGGTGTGTCAGGATCGTGCCAAATGGAAGTCTGTAGTCTCTGCCTACCCCTCTGGGTGACAGGCGTGAGTGTTTATGTTATGTTATACAAATTTTCTTTGGGCAGGTTGGCAACAATACCTTTGTTTTTTATATAGAAATGTGTGACAACTGTGCGGTTAGTCCACTTGATGGTAAGTGGATGCTGACGTCTGTAGATTATTATCCCCGAAAACTGTATATGCTTTGCCACCCATAAGGACAAAGATAGAATACCTCGTTACCAGTAAAAAGGTTCTCCGTTTTTTACACTCATAATACGAAACACATCAGCATCGAGCTGCAATTTTACGCTAGTGTCCTGAAAGAGTGGTCCTTTCCTGGTCGATCTTCGGTCATTTGTGCTGCAACAAAAAATTTGGCTCTACCACGCAAAAAATTCTTCGTACTGGAATTGGGATTCAAACTTACTCTATTATATTTCCTGTGAATCTTTGCAAGCTAAAATCTTCAAAAACTAATCTCACTCTTTCACGACCTCTGCCCAGAAAATCATAATGACATTGTGTTTTTTGTGAATACGGCAGGGGATACATGGGCGAAGTTAATGTTCCATTTTTATTTTTATTACTACTCAACACTCGATGACAGGAAGAAGCTGAAAAAAATAGTTGAGTATATTATCAGGTATAAATATTTTGAAGTCGAAACGATCAATTAATCAGCTAGTAATATAATGTTATATTATTGAACAAATGTCAACAGTGATTTTTTTTTTGATGCTAAAACCTTTGCATTTATTTAATGTTTATATCTGTCTTAGTTTCTAGTGAGAGACCATTTCATTCAGTAAAAGTTCTCAAATTATTATATCACAGACCTTGAAATTTTTAAAATAAAATCAATCTTCACATATAGATTGCCACATAATTAATTTATGTATCTACTACATAATGATATGGCGATGTTTAGTATAAATTACCTTTATATAATATTAACAAAGAGATAATGAAGATTTAAAAAATTCAATTAAAAGGTTTTCATACTTTATCTTACGTTAGCTACACCGCTAACGTTAAATGTACACATGTGAATCTTGTAATATATTCTATTGCACAATATAATTTTTTTAACAATTTTATTAGTACTTTTATCAGAGTGTTCACCATATAAAAACAAATAGAAGACATTTTCCATTAGTCACTCACATCCTTAATTTTAAACACTTTTAATAAATATGTATGTATTAAATATTGAAAAAAAGACCGAATTTTATACTAAAAATATAAATTGAATTATATTATTTCCTGGCGGCGTGGTAGAATAAATCCATCGTCTCATTTTGTTGTATCGTAAGAGGCGAATATTGAATATGCCCATAAGATACTTCCCATAATAATCCCATAGTAATTTCCACTGTAGCTTACATGTGTATGCTAGATTCAAAATATTCAGGCATTCTGACAGCGGAAGCTTCAGAAACAGAAGATATAAGATTAGTTCGATATGGACTTTTATCTTAACAACTACTAGTGATAGAAAACCAAAAATTATAACCTACGTAAGCTGTTATAAAGCGCTGCAAGTATTCGTAAACTGATAATGCGTTCCCTCATATTGACTTTTCAGTTTTTACCGATTTATGAAATGGAGGAGATTCTATATTCTACGCCTATATATTTTCTCGGAATCAGCTGACCCGATTTAATTGATTATTATTTATTGTATAAGGTATAGCTAATATGATGAGAAAACTTTAGAGAATAAACTCACTTGCAGCGCTAACCGCAGGTCCAAATGAAGACACTGATTCAGCTGTACTCTTTTTTAACGTATCTGCTTCTAGAAACAGATTTATTATTTACACTACAAAAATAGCCATTATTTTAGAGTTGTTAATAAAAAATCACGATGTCGATGAAAATGACTTCTATTTCAAAATTATTTATAATTTTAGCTAAATGGTCCCACTTTCATCATTCACCAGGAAGACTAGTCTTAGATGAAACTTAAGTTTATTAATATTTCACTGAAGGACTGACTGAGCAACCTTGCTAAAATAATCTAAAATGTCATGAGTGGGTATAAGAACAATATACATCTATATTGGGAAAGCTTCATTTTCAGCAGTGTCCTTTTACAGGCTGATAAAAAGAAATAAGCTATTGTGAACGAAAGCTAAATAAATACAATGTTGAAAGTCAACTTTAGTAATTACAGTTTCTAATACTTCGCATGTACGCGAAGTATTAGAAACTGTAATTACTAAATGTAAATTAAAAGGTACAATATGACTGATTTATAATACAATGGGAGGTCCCATCTTAAGAGTATTTCCTCCAGATAACTCTGATATAGACAATATTGACGTAGAGAAGAAAGGAGATGGTTTTAAAACCAAATATTAACTTTAATGACATATTTAGTTTAATACCGTTTTATTATATTATAATATATTCATAAGGCACTACATCTATATAATCAACATATTAAATGTAATATATTTTGGTTATAATGCAAGCCTATAATGTACACTTTCAGTTTTATAAACCTAATAAAAGACCATTATAATTGAAAGTATACTCGTCTGTCCTCTGATGTATTATTCTAAACAATCTATTATGAGCCATTTTACCACGTGTTCAGTGGTGTAGGAAAATATTTTGAGGAAACTTGCATGTTCAAGAAGTAAAGTATTTAGAGGATTTTTTATAAAACTGAATTGAAACAAACAAACTTACAGTACAAATGATTGTAAGTAACTGTTGCAGTTCATTGTAAAAAAAACAGATGTATGTAAGATGGTGGTACATTCCAAGACCTCATCCTCATCATTGTCAACATGTGAAGGTCGCCATTATATACGAGTAGCTGATGACTTTCTGCTCCTCTATTTTTTTTTAAATCTATTTCATCTATTTTATAAATGAGTGGCGGCAAAATGTCGATTCAATAGGCTTGTGTTAAGTAAGTAACCGTTATCCCGTAATAGGTACAAAATGTAAATCCATTAAGACTTAAGTTACCAAAGTCATAATGTTTTAATTTTAAGTAACATAATACATTTAATTATATGAACTTGATTCTTAATGGCTTAATGGCCATTTAGGGCATTATTTGTTCGATGAGTAAAAATATTCACTGTGGTGATAACATTGCTATATTTTGCTTTTCTTAATTAGATGCTATTATCGATTTTAAATAAAAAAGCCTGTTATATATTAGCTATTCTTTTCACCACAGTTATTACTTCTCTAATATATTGATGTGTAATTTTCGTCCTTAATTTCAGCGAAAATATATAAATCGTAAAACTGCAGCTTACTGAACCTGCATTTATATTGTCCTCCATTTGAAACTGATATCTTGCTTTAAATCCTTGTCCGGGGGTATTTGAATTGGCCGTAAATTGTACCAAGAGTGCTGAACCAGTAGAAAGAACTTCATATCCTGTAACGACATGCATTAAAACACACCCTGAAATACTTCTTTGATATTAAATTCAGACCAGTAAAGAAAGATAGACTAAGCGCTGCGTACATTTAGGTAACACCGTCACAAAGCCATATGCTCCGTAAATCATTTGCAACCAAAAACACGTTTTTGGGAGCAAACGTGTGCGTTGAGCAGAGGACATTAATAGGCTGTTCAAGAAGGAAAAAATAAATATATTTTATTGAATAAGGGTGAAAAACGGGTACAAAGTCAACGTGACAGAACTGTGCTGTAAATGTCTATAGGTAACAGTTGATACTGTAGTCATAATACATCTCCACCTATCCTCAATTAAGAACCAAAATGCAGTTGCGTTGTCACCACCGGAAGTTTCAGATGGGATATCTCGTTATACTTACCATACTAAACACAGTATCATTAAGATAAGCGTTTTTTAAATAAGCGATTTTAGGCTAGCATACCATGAGAGAGCAGTAACTCTCCTGTCAAGCCAACCCATTCATGCTACGTCTACATATAGCTGCAGCGTAGGTGTATCACGTACAAAAAGATGTATCAGTAAGTGCGTGTCAAGAAATTGAGTATGGTATCGATGTCACTTGAAATCTATGTGCTGTTGTCTGCTTTTGTTTTGTTGGTCAGAGATGTAAGATCATGATTATTAATATTATATTTTACACTAGCTGTTCTCCGCGACCTCGTCCGTGTGGAATTTATCACAATTTAAATGCATGGGTTTTAATTTTTTTGCGCGAATACTAATTCTTATTTTAAAATTAATGCCTATGTTACTTTTAATAACATCAGATATCTGCCATTGAAAGTCCCGTGAAAATTGGTCCAGCGATTTCGGAGATTAACCGAAACAATACAATTGTAAAATATTCAATTTTCATACTTTGTGGGATCATCTTTTCACTGTGGTATATTTTTCATTACTTCATATATATTTATTAATTTATTTATATTAGGATTGCATTTTTTGTTTCATTATTCGTGGGGGAAATGATGGAGTGACACTCAGGTAAACCATTTAGGAAATCGAAGGATAAAGGTAGCTTATCACTGTGATTTATTACATCTTTGGGCGATGGATGTTTAGCGGTGATTTTTTTTTCTTTTTTTAAAATATACATGATGTTATGAATTTGTGTCGTAAAACTACTGAACTGACCCAAGGAAAGACTAGCACCGGTTGCAGCACATGCTAGGTAGGAATAAATATATGACAATTATTTTATTAAATATTTTTTGTTTATTTTATTTTGTGTAGAATACTATCGAGAGTAATATCAGTATTCCTTGTCTTCCTTTTCGTTTAAGAAAAGTTGTGGTACTATTAAACTAATATATTTTTTTTGAAAAAAAAACTTAAAAATAGACCGATGAAGACGGATCACCTATTGTAAATATGCAATTATGATCATATGCAATTTCATAAAAATAAATTTTAATAGTATTGTTTCTTAAAAAAAACCTTAGGTTTGTGTCAAAACACTTTATTGATGGTTAGATTGCCTTTATGCGAAGTAGTTTTGTTTTTATTCTTGTTTCCTTGTTTCAAGGTAACAGAAATGTATATTCTAAGTAAGTTTTTGACTATAAATAACAGAAACTTAGCTTATATTTTTAGAATAGTTACTGTCTTGTAATTTGTTAAATATCTCACCGATAACTTCGTTACAAATAATCGTTAGGACGGGAGCTGCCGAAGATTTTCCATCATATACTTTAATCACATCAGCACGGTTAAGACAACTGAAAGTCAAAAGAACAAATAAGTGTCGTTCTTAATTTCTTTTATCAACCTAAGAAAAATTATATTACCTCTCATCACCTTTCTGTAAAAAAGATTCCTCAAATACTAACTTTATTCTTTCATTTTTCCTGAAAATAATAAATGTTTAATATTTAAGTAAATATTAATAAAACTTTCTTGATTTAGTGTGTTATAATTCAAAGTGGGTATAATAATATAGATTATTTAACTTAAAATATCACAATATTTGTATAATAATATAAGGCAATTTAAAATATTCTATTACCATATTTCTATTTCTTAGTAGTCAAACTACGATAAGAAAATTCTTAAGCTTTGTACAGACGGTACGGTAACTATCTGATTATATGCCTAGGATATGCTCGGACTCGTGAAAGCTCGGAAGAAAACCAAACTAAGCTATGCTAGAACGAACGCATGTCTTGAAAGAGTTATCAAACTGGTAGATTTTTAATAAGCGTAAACTGAGACTAAAACAATAGTAATTCCATTGCGTATTATCAGTATCTGGGGTTGGATTTATTATATAGATCCGTCTGTCAGTTCGCAATGTTGTTGATTTTGGAACTTGGAATCTAGAAAATATCAAAACTATTTGGTTTATTAGTTGTAAAATAAATATTATGATTATTCACCTTGCATGTAAATGATACGTGCAACGAATGTTGCTTGGATAACTTGAGGGATATCTAGGGCTGTACAGGCGCCCGTATGTTGGTTTGTTCGGATGAGAATCGAATACATAATCACACAGCGTGCCTTGAACTTGGACGCCATCGGTCTCAAAGTTTTCTGTAACATAAAATATAATATGTTTTTATGTGTATGGTTTATTTAATGAATTAAACTCAAGCATTTTAAAATGTGACGACTTGAAATAATATTATCTTATTCAGAATTAAGTTAAATCTATGACGTATGAAATTTGTCAAACTTAGAAAAGCTTAATCTTTCAGCTCAATTTCATTCATAGAGGATAAATAAATATATATTCCACAAGTAATTACAAACAGACGGATAAACGAATTTAAAATCTTCAAACTCAAAAGCCAACTGTAAATTAAAGTAAATAAAATTGGAATCGCAGTATGATAAAAATACGACTAAATATTAGCTGACTTTCCAAATGGTTCCAAAATAAGTTTAAGCAATAACAATTAAGTCGTGTGGACAGTGCTATAAGAACTTATTAAATACGTCAATAAATACGTTCTTACTACACTATCTCAGTCACACTGAAAAAGTCAAAACTGTTCAACTTACTTCTGTCAATGAACTTATATGTTCCAATGAATCCAGTTGCGTTAGATATTTTTCCTCCTAAATTAAGTTCAAGTATTAAAACTGGTCCGTGTGAATAAAGGGCAGGAGGTGCGTCGACTCTACTTCCGCACAGCACACGGGACCAGATGGAGTATTCATTGACATCGGGAGGACCAGGCCCGTGAACGCCACCTTCAGAGTATACTTTTAAGAAATCACCTCGCGTGCAACTACAAATAAAAAGTTCTAATTAAATAGCGGACGAAGTTAAATTAAACACAACTGGTCAAAGACTCATTTAGTAAGAAGAATTTCTTCTTCTGTGCAGCCAAGAGGCTGTAAGAGTTGACTAAGGTTTTTTTAGTTATAAAAGTGAGTAATGTTTTAAATTAATATGAGTTGTGGTTTCTTTAGCCCTTGTACAGATGTAATCAATTTTAAAGAAAGACTGATTCGATCCGTTGTCACCCTTAAGGATAAAGATGAAACGCCTTATTGCCTCATTATTTATGAATTAAACTTTTCAGCCGGAACGCAACATTAAATACATCGCTGCTTAGTGGCATTAGAAGATTTGTGGGGGTGGGGTACCTTTTCAGAACTCCTAGGCAGAACAGGAGTCTTTCTTTGTAAAATGTCGGTAATATCTTTTGACCTCTATTAACTTAAAGTAGTGGTAATCACCATCTCCTATTTATAGCAAATCTAAAACTTCACTCTGGTAACGTGAAGAGAAACAGCGTGAAAGTTTCAAGAAGTCTGGTAGCGTAAAAAGGCGGACTTAAAGCCACATGCTATTTTTTTCCAGTTACCCCAGTTCAAGCAGAAAATATAAAAACTAACTGATGTTTTCCCATTTATTGCATTCTGTTGATTTTAAACAAATAACATTGATGTAACTAGTGGAGGGAGGATTTTACTCAACTATTCCGTTCATGTTAAGGCGACGGCTAGTTTCAATCTAAACCACTTTAACTAGTTAATTCTGCGTCAGTTTTAGTAACATACTATGACTTAGCATATTAACGTTAGTTTGATGCTTTATTACTATTTAATTTAGATTTTATATCGCTATGTATCGTCTGTCAAGAACGTTGACGAAATCGATATTATTAACAGGTGTAAATAACATTTGAAACAAGTCATTTTGTTCTATATATCTAATACTGCAATGCAGTTACTTTTTGTTTTGTTCCATTTAGTTCATTATGTGATTTTATTATCAACGTACTGTATTTTCAGTCATGTGGAAACGTAACAACTTATTCATGGCTATCACTTGATTTTATTAGATGTATCCATATTGTACGTTGTATAATAATATATTTTATATTTAATTATGTAATACATAGCGATATAAAATCTAAATTAAATAGTAATAAAGCATCAAACTAACGTTAATATGCTAAGTCATAGTATGTTACTAAAACTGACGCAGAATTAACTAGTTAAAGTGAAATCTATTAAACTATAATCTTAACTTTCGTTTTACATGAAAACTTTTACCTTTATTTTTATTATGTTAACTTATAAATCTCCTTCTAGATCCAAATGTTTGCGACTCGATCATTTTTAAGAATCATCATTTAGTAAGGATTCTGATATATTGATTTCATGTATGCAAACACTACAATTAAAATGATTTCATAGATTAGGGTCAGTAGGTATTTGACACACCTCAGTCGCCCCGAACCAGTGATGTTAAGTAGGCGATACGTCAGGAATTTAGAATAAATAATTTAATATTATAAAATCTTCAAGAAAGATTTTTAACTTATTAAAACACAGTGCTTTAATAAAATCTCATCTTGTAGTAAGTAGTAATGAAGCCCTAGATGGGAAATTATTATGTATTAAAGCCTATTCACTCTATCTTTAAGGGATCCGAATCATTACTTTGCCTTCGCTCCATTATTGTGGATGACACTTTAATGGGACGGAAAGTCCGAGATTTTAAAATAAATGAGTGGATTCATTTTAATGTGTTCTTGCTGTACGCATACGAAAGATAAAACAAAATTCGAATACGTGGAATGTCTAAAACAAAGGGGTTGTCCGATTGTTGTAATAAACGTTGAAGGAATTAAGTTATGAAATTCTCCGCATACTTTCAAAAATGTACCTGTAGAATACTTCGAAAGTTAGAGTTCGAAACTGTCAAGATTGATTTAAAACAATCAACGTCGCTATTAAGCCATTTAGCACGCCTTTCCACTGAGTCCAATACTCGGTATTATGCAGCCACAAACGGACTTCAACTTTTAGAGAGTAAGAAGTTGTCCATTCTTTAATTAGCACCATTTTTGCATCCACACCTAGCCTGCTTACGGCTGTTTTGGTCGTGGACAAAATAAATTGTTGAAATGAAAAGTTAAGTTCGAAGAAAAGGGATCGAGCCTAATAACTAAAGGCGACAATAAGATAATATTGATCTAAATATACATCCCGGAAGTTAGAAGCTAAGGTGAGCGTGATCTCATTTTGCTGTGAAAAGAGACACAAATTAGATTTTGGAAGCACTGAATCTCACAAGATTGACATTGCCCCATTCAGAGACTGCCTGCTGTGAGAGATTCACACGCTCATCCATAGATTTTTTTTCAAATATGATTTGATTTGGATCAACCAGAGCATTTGACTAGTATAGTGTCATAGTTATATAAAAGAAAGGAGCAGTATATTGCAAAATTAAGGCATAAATAGGTTAATTGGATTGTTGATTTAGAGGAGCAACTTAGAGTTTAGTAACTCAGCTAAATCCCTAGATAGAAAAAGTACTAGGAATTTAGATTAAGACAACGGAGAATATGATATATCAAAACTCAAAATCGAAACTTTTTTAATTTTATTATATTAAGTAAAACACATAATTATTTTTAATTTAAAGTAGTTTTACTTTAAAATATCTTGTAAAATGTTTCAATTTTGTCTCCTTAATTAATTATTTGCTTTTGTAAAACACTAACTCTGACCTTAAAGCATTCTGACCTAAACGATGTTACATTTAGAGGCTAAGTTTTAAATTACTGTTTTATATGGGATATGAAACAGACATTTGTTTGGGTACAAACTCGTATTGCGCCTTCGCCTTGGTTATTTACGTTAACTACATTACGTCTAAATTGTTTCGCTTGGGATTACTGCTTGCTAAATTCTTGGCATTTCAAGTAAATCAAAATAATAAGCTATTTTGCGCTAAAGAATTTTGTTAGTTATGTTTATTGTTATTACCTACAATGAAAGGGTTAGAAATGCAGCATTAATAAATTTAACACTCCCTTGCGGTTAATATTAAGAAGAAATATAACGGCAGATGGAAAATAGATAAGAAATTTTAAAATTTAGGCAACAAAGCGACAAATACAATAATTACTAACGCGAAACGTGCAGCACGGTAGTGATTTAAGAGAATCTAGCACCTTATTAACTTCCGTGGGTGTAGTATGAGGCGACTACAGAATTTACCGGAAATAGTATCGTGTTCATGTAGGTTTTAACGGCGTGAAGCAGACGCGAGCGGACGATTGGCACGTGGGGCTCCGTCGCGTGTCCGGCTAGCTGCTAGCAATAATTCCCTTCATCTACTCATGTCGCAATAGCGACGAGTAGGGATGGGCAAGTGAAAACGATATCGATATATATCGTATCGATATTTTTAAACAGTACCGATATATTCACGTGATAAATATTGATATATCGTAATGTTTTTTATAATGTAGTATGATAATGCTCAAAATGGTATTTCTGGACGGTTGGATGACGAAAAAAAACGACAACGACACATGAATGTTTTTGTAGCTTCTTTTGTTGCTTAATGTTCTGTCGATTCATACAATATTTTAAAATATATCGAAATTAATATTAATTTGATATTCCACTACTTTCATAAGTGTAGGTTTATTTCATAACCCACTAATAGGCGAATACATCTACGTAGTATACAAATATATTGTAATTGATTGATATAACCAGCGTTTATTTATAGAATAGTTTCAGATAATAATTGGATGCACCAAAAGAACCTTCTCGTGTTGCGATAACTATATTATATTATAGATAGGTATAACATGATACGACTCGTAACTATGCCTATAGATGCTTACTTACGAGTCGACGGATACTTACTTTTCAATATGAAAATAAACTACATACCTACCGAAGGTACTAGGCAGACTAGGAAAATCTTAGTCCTAGTTTATTTTCACGTTGAAAAGTACTTCATCATTGTTTTATTTGGACACTATCTTCCAATGATATTCTTGTAAACTAATAAGTACCAATAAATATTTATTTTTTATAAATTTTTATTCCAAGCGTCTTGGACAATAACGTCCAAATAAAATAATGATGAAGTACTTTTCAACATAAAAATAAACTAGGCAGACTAGAATTTTCTCCTGTATCGTGGAGGCAGTTGACAAATTTAAATTGCACGAGGTCAACATCCAGACCCGAAACAATTATTTGTAGGTCATACAAATACTTGTTCCGTGCAGGATTCGAATCCGCGGCACCCAGCGCAGCCACTCATTGCCAATCCAGTGCGTCACGGAGCCGTCACTTTACCAAAGTATATATTGTAACATACGAGTTTCCTCATATCTAACGTGACCACTAGTCCCACTTTAGGCGAGATGGTCCCGATTTAAAGGTTTTTGTCCCGTTGTCTCCAAAAAATGTAAAAATGTCCCGCTTTGACAAATAAAAGCGTATAGTACAGTAAAAATAGACGTTATTACGGTCAAATTTGCACTGAATTTCCGATCCATTTTTTTATAAGGTTTAAGATCATTTACTGAGCATAAAATCATAGAATGACATCTAGGTGGCGCTTCAAGCGACATCTTGAAAAACGTTTTAAGCCGATATCTCGAAAACTATGCACTTTAAGAAGGCAAAATTATTCAGATTTTTATTGTAGAAAATAAAATTTTGCATCTTTTGTTTCTAGTAAACTCTTTTGTAACACTTACCGTTTTCGATTTAAGGCTCTCAAGTCCCTAGCGGCCTCATGATATTGCGGCCATATTCCATCGAATCCCTAGCGGTCTCATGAGGTCGCACCCATCCACATCACTTTAACCCATAAAAACTTATATACATATATACATATATATATATATATATATATATATATATATATATATATATATATATATATATATAGACTACTTTTCTATGAAGAAGTTTGGCATTATATAAGCAATAAGAAAATTGTTATTTTATGTATATTTATTTATAATCTACATTTATTTCGTACGCCATTTTCGCGTGAATGTTATTGTGTTGATTTTTGGATTGTTCTAGTGTTTTATTAGTGTTTTAAGTATCTGATTTGCCGAGCGCATGCATCTGCATAGGATTTTTATGGCACACTTGTTCTATCCCGACGCCTTAACAATTTAGCAATACTTCGTGTACCTAAGTTCGGATTCTGGCGAACGACATCTAAAATGCGCTCCTCAGAGTAATCAGTCACTTGACTTCCACCTACTGCCGCTACCGGAGCAATGGGTCAATTTTCCAACACTCGATGAAATGCTGCTGTTATCAGACGAGAGTCAGTTGGGTGTCGAGCCGTCGGAAATTTTTCTCGGTAAATTCCTAATGCACCCTCAGCATTCCCGCAGCCTTCCTTCCAAGGCACATTAACATGTTGCCGTACGTGTAAAATATTATTTAAACAAAACAAGAAACATAAAACGTAGCAACCAAAGCAATAACAAGAATTTAATAAACAAAACGACTGATCGGTCGCTCACGCGCACCTCAAAACGGAATTGTTTCAAAAACTACGAAATTAATAATCAATCCCGCCAAAACCAATGCCTATTGAAGTTCATGCGTCCTTTCGGTGGGCACTTTGATCATTTCTACAGATAGATTCACCGTTACTTCATTCCCTTCTTTTATTCTATAAGTTTAGCTATGCCTACGATAAGTCTTCATATGGAATTTACAAGTAATAGTTGTCATTTTTAAATATATTTAGACAATCAATTGTACCATGACGCAAAAAGCAGTTCGTTACTACAAAAATGACATTAAATTAATAAACGTACCTAATTGGATACTCACACAGTTATAAACACTATTTCGTCGTTGTCTTTGATTTTGTACAAGAAAATAAAAATGAAATGATACTGAATAATTTAATAGCTGAAAGCAATTGCAATAATGATAGACAGGTAATTAAAAATAGATCGAAATTGATGTAAAAAATAATTACGGATTAAAAATGGAAAGTCAATTAAAATAAAGTAAGACTTTATTTTAATTGACTTTCCATTTTTAATCCGTCCAGTACTTTAAATTTAAAAAAGTACGTCAAAACCTTTAAAAATCACTTGTAGGTTTTATTGTGATTGCCACCTCTAATTTCTATGTCGCGTACAAATCTAAGTAGTTAAATTACGTGCAATATTTGCAACGTTGCCGACACCAATTTGTCAAATTCTCCGAAAATCCATGTAATATTCGCAAATTTAGGGAAATAACTACGACAGATTCTCCACAAACATTGCTCGATTTCATTTTAAGAAATAAAACAATTTTCAACTAATTTTACAATATTTATTTTTTAACTAACATTTATTTTCATTTTTTAAAGAAATGTTTTTATTACACTTTCCATATTTTTGTAACAAGTATTTTAATGCGTGGAATATTTTCAATTCCTTTCCTTGTTGCAATTTTTTTTTTCAAAAATTAAAAAGTACCACAATATCTGCATTTACTCTGCTTTGAAATAAAAAAGAATTAGGAAATGAAAAGCATCCAATGATACACAAAAGTTGCCGAAATAAATCCGAAAATTAAATGACATTGCTCAGCGCCCATACATTGTTCGCACTGGAACCAAAAGCATCGGAAAACTGTGTGTTGTATTGTCGATCATTAGGGAATTCTTATATGATCTTATTTTCATAGCAGACTAGCTGCAGAAAAGATATATTTAAAAAAAGTACCAGATTTTGAGGTTATAATAGATGATTGATTGTTTTTATTATAGTTTATATTTGCACTTTAATCGAAATAAATTCAAAATGTGATTCAGATTAAAAAATTACACAACTGTTCATTAAAAATTTAAAAGATCAATTATAATCAATGGGGCGTCCCTAGTAATTTTTATATACTACATGACGTTTGGTGAAGATGGCGGCCATTAATGTTATAAGTAGAATATTATTTAATGTTCATTTTGGCATAGCTAGTCCGTGTTATAAAAATATTTGCAACTAATTTAGAAGGTGACAAGCAACACCCTGGGGGGCAAATAAAAAAAAAGACGAAGCGGCGCGTGGGATAATATAGTAAAATAGGTAATTAGTTATCGTGTATGTCCGATGTTTTATTGCACAGGGTGATTTTGGACGTTACTCTTTGATGTAATGAAGATTATTAAAAAAGTATTACATAAGTAGTAAATTCGATATTCATAAGTAACCTAACGAAAAAATATGAGGATAAGAATTTAGATTTCTTGAAAAAACGTTCTGACTTGGCCGGAGCTATCGATTTTTAAAACCCTAGCATTTTTCCCGCATAATACAAATCCATAAAAAATCCCCAACGAACTTTAAATTCCCCGCAATTAGGGGAATTCCCTACATGTTGGCAATAATTAACATGTGTAAATTACACAGCGCGAGATGACACGAGTCGGCCGGGCGGTAGCAGCGCGTGTTTGAAAGAGAAGGGTAGAGTGGACCAAGTACAGTATTACCTAATGCATTGTTTCGTACCTATCTGGATAAAAGAGTTGACCATCCACGCGTTTATTGACCCTATAGTCAGCTGGTTTCATTTGAATTTTCACTACTGGTTTTAAGTTTCAGTAATCACATTAAACTTTTATGAAATTATCGTTTCATTTAGTTGTACTAACATGATGGAAAGTAAATAAAGCTAATAAAACATTGTGAAAAGTTTTTTCATCGCGATCGGTTTTTTTTCTGTTCCATCATCAGAGTTATCGTTAGTAATATCGTCTGCCTTCGTTTACGAGAGCGTATAAACACCCGAAGTATATTTTCTTACAAATAAGGACACCTCATAATAAAATTTTAATAATAACTTCGCTTGTAATTAGTAAAAATATGATAATATTGTTGTTTTAATCAAATTTGTTACTCCTACTTATAAAAGATATGAATATTTTAATAAATGTTTTATTTAACAATCTATTATACACCAGAAACTATGAAAAACATATAAACATCAAATACAAAATATTTAAAGACCTTATATAATTTTACATGTAATTGTCATGTAATAAATATTCATGATCTGATTTGATTCTACTACATGTACCAGACATCACGCATCTTTGACGCTGCTTGCTGTCGCCAGTTAGGGTATTTTACGTCTGGTCTATCGTAAATGAGGGTCATACTGCCATCTATTAGCAACTACGAGAACTTTCCGATATTTCCCGTTAACGCCTCTTACAATCGGAAACAAATGTAGATGATTCTTAATCACTGTTATCACACGGTAAATTTACACACGGATTTTATAATATATGTAGATGAATATAAAAACATAACGATAAATACTTACTCGAGGTGCTCCTTATATATGTCGAAGTCAGTAAAAAGTAACTCGACGATTTGATGTGAAGACGCGATGAATGTATATATCAGACATGTAGAATGCTTGGAATATGGTTGAGGATAATCTGGACTACTGAACGTTCCTCGTTCCTTGCCGTAAGTCGATGAAAATCGTATACAAAGGCAACCTGGTTTAACATAGACAAATCAACAAAAATAGAAGTTAACAAAATAAAACTATGAAAAGACATAATTATAACAATTAAATTAAGTCACAAAAAACTCGTTACCTACTATAACAAAAATGTTTATAAAGTTTTGTTTCGTAAAACGATTAAAACAATACCTTTTAAAAATACTTCGAGCAGAAGTTAAAACTTTAGTCATTTCGGAAATTTTTGTGACTCTTAACAAGCAATTTTTGTTGCAATTGGATTTGTATAAAGCATTGATTGTAGTTTATTTTTCTTTTTTATATACAATTTTATCTATAGTTAACTAGACGTACGTAAGGCACGTCCTAGGCGAAAATTTATCGACCAAATTGGCGATTTATTGAAAACGGGCCAAATTAGTAGCACCCTTAACCGACGAGCATGTATGCGGATGTGAAGGAGGCGAGAGAGGTGTGTCAGGATCGCGCTAAATGGAAGTCTGTAGTCTCTGCCTACCCCTCTGGGTGACAGGCGTGAGTGTTTATGTATATGTATGTAGTTAACTAGACGAAGATTTTATTTTTAGGACTCTAATAAGAATGGAATAGAATATAATTATTTTTATTCAATATAGATTATTACATAATTCCTATTGAAAGCCATTTTATTTAGCACATTTAAATACAGTGTGACAATTACAAGTATGTTAAAAGTCTGATATCCATAGGTGTTCTAAGAAAAAACCATAAGTTACTTTTACGTAAATAAGATGGTTACTGTTCCATAAAATTGAGAGATCAAACGAGATCAAAATTAGATAAAAACTAAAGGGCAACTGCTTTACTCGAATATCAACAATATGTTTTCGAGTTAGCAGGGTCGAAAACAAACTATTGTCATTGTCAACTGTCTATGCATTCCTATCTACGATTCTATCGCATTAGCATCACTTTAGCCACGGGAAGGTTAGCAAGAGCGTCACCACAATATTCCCCACGCAGTAAATATATTCGAAATTATCATCATGGTAGAAAATCTGCAAGGAGGGTATGATCATATGCTTTGATCATGGTATTTCATACCGCTCGAAAGAAATAAATATTAATTTTAGTTTAATAAACAATATCATATCAAAAATTTACTAATAATGTCAAAGTTTTACTGTACTTACTCGGATTTATTGCAAGTCCTTCATCAACTGTATGAAGGGATAAGTGTATCAGCAATATGACAGCTGTTGACGTCTGAAAAAAAAACACAATCATAAATCGCAGAAGCATTGATTCCTTTTGTAAACTGTAACTGAAATGTGTGTTGCTCTATTATATTTATTTATGTTTTATTGCTGTCATCTTAAATAAAAGGGTTTTTAAGGGCGGAATTCAATCTTTTTTCTATTATCTTCGATTCAACATCGGAAGTGGTGACATATAAACGCAGGTACTATGGATTCGATCTAGGATGATGATAACGGCCATGATACAAATATTAAGTTGACTGCCTCGTTGGTCTAGTGGTTGAAGTAGTGCGACTGCTGATCATGAGGTCCTGGGTTTGAATCCCGGGTCGGACCAAAAAATCAAGTCAAGAAATTCTCAGTAGCTGCTCGGAGTCAGGAAGTTGGCGGTGTCTCACCCCCCGTTCCTCGGAAAATTACGTGTTGTAAGTGTCGGTTTACCGTCCCTTCGGATTATGAGAGTGAGGGAATAGAGAGTGCACCTGTGCTTGCGCATACACTTGGGCACTATAATCCTGTCCTGCGCCGATGGCTAGCCTCCGTTGAGGCAGGCCGCCGTGGCCGAAATTCAGTCTGGAGGACATTATTATTATTATATTATTATTATGTAGAAGGTGTTCTGAACTTAAGACCTCTGTTCACACTCAGTCTCAGTGAAGATTAATCTTTAACGCATGATTGTTTTCTTGTTAAGATTACAATTTACAGTTATCCGAAAGTAAACTGTACTGAAATTCCAATAAATATTGAAAAGATATAACAAAATTAAAACATCACTTCTAAAAAATATGGTCTAAAGATGGCACTTTTACATTGGCACAGTTACAATGCTACTCGAAATGGATATAAGATTTACCTTACTTAAAATTATGAGATCTTATCCGTATAAAATAATTAAATACCTTATCAATGGAACAGCCTCTAATGCTCTGTAGCTTAATGGTGAACGCGTTTTTACAAGAAAAAGTAATAACCTAAAACTCAGGTTTTTCAATAAAACTTGATAAAAGTTTATTCCAAATTGATTAAAACTACTTTTACAGATTTTATCGCGTTTATTTTACTATTATTTTTAATTCCCGACGTTTCGGGCGCTTTCCAGCACCCATGGTCACGGGGGACTGAGATGACTGACGTCCCGATGTCATTGTTAAACCCGGAGTACCTTTAGTTTTTTAATTATTGTTTATGGTCAGATCTATGCAAAATGAACTGACTATGTTCTGAGGGGCCCTCTAGGATATGATCGCAAACTGCAGACTTCCCTGCGATCATATCCTAGACAGCCCCAACCATTACATCAGATTTGATAGACCACAATTCCTCGCGAAAGAACGCCGATTCCTACCAAGGATGATACGTGAGGCTATTGAAACGTCAGTCATCTCAGTCCCCCGTGACCATGGGTGCTGGAAAGCGCCCGAAACGTCGGGAATTAAAAATAATAGTATAATAAACGCGATAAAATCCGTAAAAGTAGTTTTAATCAATGTGTAGTGTTCGCGTAAATATAAGAAATCGTTAGTTTATTCCAAAATTTTGCTGCTATGTAATTAATTTAATTATTTTGCTCACTTTATTTTTATTTTTTTTATTTGCTGATACTAGTGATCGCCAAATGGTCGAAAAGCATAAAGGTGACGAACGAGCTCAGAGTCCACCTGGTGGTAAGTGGATACTGTGGATTGGCCACAAGATGTCCATGCGAAAATTATGTGGTTGTCGTTTTCAGTACGAAAGTGAACAATGCTTGTTTCAGCACTCCTTCTTCATATACACTTTAACTATTCCAAATATATTACTCCCACGTGAGCGCAATAAGAATATTGCTTGTTTTATGAGTGGTACAAATATTTCCAGTTATTTATTAATAAAAAAATATAGATAACTTTTTAACTAAAGAACATAACATACATATTTGGACAAAGCACAACTTTGTCTCGTAAGTGAAATAAAAATTTGTTTATGCTGAAAATTCGAGTTCCAACATTATTTTGTTATTATTTGTTGCAAACTCAAATCTGGACCTCGCATCAATCGTTATCGTTAAAGAGTGTTTCGCCATTGATCTTTGTTTTAATATATTTTTTATATAAAATTAGGCTAGTATTTTATTACCAACAAGCATATTAATAGATATTTCAGTGAGCCAGATTTTCAAAGCTATCAAAATTGATATATACATGGAATTTTACCAGCATTTTCCTACTAGCCCTTTATAACATCCATTTGATTTAAAATAAGGTAATGTATTCACATTTCCACTACATAGCAGAATTTTCTTTCTGTCACTTAAAGGTAGAATATTATAGTAAAAAATCCTGAATAATATGCACAACTTTTTTATTGAATAGAGGTAACAAACAAACACACAGTTTACCTGATGGTAAGTAGATGCTGAGACAAATAGAAATCTACATCTATCTACCATTAAGGATCAAAATGCAGACCTTGTTTTTAGTAATTCTCTCCAGTTCTCTATTCTCACCATACGAAACACAGCAGGATTCCTGGTTGAGTCGACCTAGTCAAGATATAATCTAGTATAGAATGCAGCTTGGCTTTACCACATATACTTGGCTTTCAATATGTTTTCATTTTATTTTAAGCTGGTCAAATTTTACGTTATAACAATTAATAGAGGTAATTTTTAAGAAAAATAAAGCATTTTTCGTAACGTTGTAAAAACAAATTAATTAGTATTTAACATATTAATTTAAAATTTGATGTTGAAATTATTAATAATAAAAATATTGCAATAAAATAATTAAAATAAATTATTTGATCAAAATATGGTAGTAGTAAAAAAGATTCGATGTAAAATGTACCTAAATATTTTATGGTGGTGTCTTAGCTTAATTTTAATTATGCATTGCTTGGACACGATTTTCAAGTGACAAGAGTGTTTTACAACTATATATAGCCTAATTATATTATTAAAGTTACAGTCTATTTATGTATGTCCCTCTGTTAGACGCTCTGTTTAATTTCTGGTGGGTTCTGGCGCAAATAGCCCACAATGAAACAGTGTAACACGAATGAGTTGGCTCGACCGGGGCAAGACCACGTTCTCGCAGAATATCAGTGTAAAATAGCAGCTTTTCTGCTGCTTCATTTCGAATAGTGAGTGTAGAGAATCGGAGACCCTTTTTACTGGAAACGAGGTATTACACTTTAGTCCTCACGGGTGACACGTATTGATTCGTAACTGAGGATGGATATGTCTATAGGTCACGGCAATCACGGCAATTACTCACCATCAGGTGGCCTACGTGTTTGTGTGTCATCCTTATCCTGAGAAGAAAATGAGAAGATGAGATGAGCTGATCTGATGAAGAAGATGGATGCTGGCCCCAGCAACGCCTATAAAATCTTGTTGTTTAAATAAATTTTAATATTTGTAAAAGTTAAATATTAACTTTATTACGTGGTTTTTAAGTGCTGATTTACCACGTGCTAGGCGGTGAAGGAAAACATCGTGAGGAAACCTGCATATCTGAGAAATAAGAAAAAAAATATTTCGAAGACACGTGAAGTTCGCCAACACGCTTTGGGGCAGCGCGGCGGACTATTCCTTGCCCTAAAACCCTCTCAGAAATGAAAGGAGGCCTGTGGGTACATATCAGAAGATACATTTAAGTTCGCGAACAACATTACAGCTAGCAATACTTAGTAGCAAAAGGTATTATTGATTACAGTATTATTCTACTAAAGATAATAGGATTACTTCGAGTACTATATATATATTGTATATTTTTGTAAATGCAGAACATTCTTGAGGCTTCTCTTGATGTATATAGTCGCTGACAAATAGCTATTAAATTAAATTGTATGATGTTAATTTTGCTGTTTTGTTTCACTTTCTGCTTTTATAGGGCTTATTGTCAATGAGGGTATATCCGTATTTAAAAATATATTATTATTATTTGTTTTATGTAAAGAGTTAGTCATTTAATACATTTTTAATTTATGGTCGTTAAGCACAACGAATAGGTAAAGGTATGAGAACAGCTTACTTTTAATAGTGCCTAAACCATTCATAGATACACCATTGTTACGAGTACATCCATTACAGCCTTTGCCTCATACGGGGCCATCATAGTTGCTACGATTGACAAGCGGGTTGGAAACCGTATTTTTCTATTATTTTTGAGTTGTTATTAAGAAGATGCACTCAGATGCAGATGCACAAGAAGGACTTATCTCTTGTTTCAGTTTCCAGGCAATACAAAAATATTTTTTTTTGGATATAAGTCTTCAAGAACATGCCAATTATTATGCACTTATTGTAAGATTTGATCATAATCCCTACTTTTAGATACTTCAACTTAGCAACGATACCAGTACACAGATTCGATACGTCATTGTGTAGAACATAGAATACTATAATACATACATAATAGAATATGAATATGGATAGATAGAACGGGGGAGTGAGCGGAGCCCGTGTAGCCACTAAAATGTCACTAACACGTCAATTCACACGTATAAATGTCAACACGAGATGTGTTTTGACGTTACAATCGTTTCCAAATTTCATTTTTCATGCGAAATTTTTCAAAAATCAAGAATTAAATCATGTTCTATCTTAGGATTAAGCTTTCAATATCTTACAGGTAGGCATTATTGACTTGGTTATGTTTCATAAATATACTTTCCTATGAATAATATTTTCATTATTTTTAAATAAACTTTTTGAAGTGAATTTATTCCCTTCCTTCTTTTCCCTCCATTTAATGTCCATTTTAAGTGCAAAAAGGCATATCACAAGTTGAAGTTAACAAGTGAAATGTCGTCTAAATAGTTTGAAAAATTTGATTTCCGTTTTTAATTCTTAAGGGTGAAAATATTTTAAAACAGAAATCGGTGAATATGTTTAAAAAAACGTGTATTATAAAAAACGCTACTTATCGTTTTTGGAATTTGTTTAAAAATTATATTATACTTTATGTCTATAAGCATTAAATTGTGTATATGAATAACAATAAATATAGAAAGGAGCAAAAA